CTTACAAAGGTCGTGTTCCTTGCTTCATTTCAGGCATTTCTTACTCCTGAATATATCAAAAACAACCCTGATTACGAACCTTACGTGGAGAAACTCAAGGAATTGATAGTTGATCAGGTGAGAGCTGGAAATAAAATTGAACACAAAATTGATCACTGATCTCATTCCTTTGGGCAAAATATAGTGAAAATACTGTGTATGTGGTTTGATTTGAGTAGGTGGACATTTTGGAGGAAGGAATGGTACTACACGGAAGTCGTGTCTCAGCTGATCTGAAACCTTTCCATGAAAACCTCGAGAAACGTTTCAAAGAAATGAAGGTTAAGACAGCATCCATTAAAAAGGTGAGCGCGTGAGAAAAAAGGTCTGCTACACCTCTTTATTCAATTTGTATCCTGGATTAGCCATCCTGCGCATAGTTAACTATGTCCTGCGCCATGTAGCAAATGAACCGAGAAATAACGTGGGGCTGGAACAAGTCTGGAATAGTGCGATATTATTATTATATGACCCGTACGGCCCTATGCGCGCTTTTATTGTAAATCATTTGACAAAAATGCCCGTATAGTACGAGGGCTGTACCCTATGGCGTATATTGGGTCGAAAAGCCGTAAAGGTTTGCGAGATGCGAGATAAAAGAAGAAAAGAAAAAAAAAGGAAGAAGTAATGGTCGTATGATGAAATGTTTATTGACTGTGTTTGGTTGAGCCAGGCGAAAAAATATTAGAGATTTAGCGCCACGTTTACGTGAAACGGCAAACGTCAGCTTTCCCTTTCACGTTCACGCAAAATAGGTGCCCTTGTACGACCTACAAGGAATAGTTTTGGTGCCCTCTTTCCGGCAATTAAGTTCTACTCTGTGTGGAGAAAATCTTACGTAAACGGCAAATGCGAAACAGGTTACTTTCACGTAGAAACGGTAAAGCCGAACTGGGAAATGCGAGAAAATGGCTGGAAAAACGTGGTCACTCTCGCCGTTCACGTTTCACGTCAACGCGGTGCTAAATTTCTCCAGTTGCTCTCGGTCATGGCGCACGTTCCTTGTTGCGTTCCTCATGACCTCTGATAAAATATTTTCCCGCCTGGCCCTGCCACTCAGTCACTATATACACTGGTATAAAATATTTTATTTACACAGGCCCGCGCAAGCATCTCCAGTAACCCACGGACACCAGACGGCCCTCCCTTTGGAGAACGGTCGATGACAGTTGTTCGAAGGTCACGTGATGGCAAGCCTATTGTATCCGGCCGAGACAGCCTAGATCAGATGCACCAGACGTATAGCGGATGGACAGAGTAAGTTTGATCTTCTTCGAATCCATTCTGCTTTAACTGCGCTTCTTATCGAGGTACTGTAAGATTCTGGGGCCACAGAAAGCTTACAATGCTCCAATGTTCTTATCCCAAACACACTCCTCGTTTATTTTCGTTCTCTAAGGGTAAGGTAAGACACTTTGGTCTCCGTATCGTGGTTCTTCAATTTTTCTTTTTGTGTGGCATGTAAAGCTTTTAGATGTCCACCGTGATTTTCGTAGAAAATTGTGTGCCCCTGGTTCTTTTTTTGGATTCTTAAATTTTCTTGTAATTGTTATCTGGAGGTAGAAGACGTTGTGTATCGTTCGCTGGTCGCAAGCTTCAAAATGCTCCCAAAGATCCAGGTGGAGTGCAACCTTTGCCTCTAAAGTTCAAGGATACTTCCTCTCTCCTCCAATGTCGTTCTCTCCCTTCCTTCACTCCACTCCTGTTTCCTTCACTTTTGTTTAAGGGTGAGACCAAATACAATCATTCAACTTTGAAATGGGAACTAGGTGTGCTGAAAAGGATATGTTAAGGTTTTTGTTGGTATTTGGTAGGTTTTAACTCGAAGTTCTTCGCATTTTCCGGCAGTTTGTTGAACACCATGATATTCCACTCATGGATTTCTCATATGATGTTAGTTTTGTGGAGAGTAGCTAGTCTTAGTTACTTTTAGAATACATTAAAACAGTGGATAGCATTGAAGGTGTGCTCTGATTGGCTACTCATACTCCGAATACCCTTTTCTATTATCCTCCAAGCAACTCGCGAGGGATTTGCGCCCGAAAATATTATAATCGCTGTAGGAAGAAATAAGTTAAAGTAATCTGTTTCTGCTGCATTATTTCACTGTTCTAGTATAGACTAAAACAAATGTTCACCACAGTGTCAGTGGTAATTTTCCACTGACTAGCCAACTTTACTTCGGTGAATAGCTGTCAAGAGATTGTTATTTGGGTTTCCTCACACGTATACATTCTTTCAGCCCTTTGGTTTCCACGGGCGATGGAAACAGTGCAAACAATCCCCCTCCTCTTCCGGTGAAGTCTATGACCATGTCCAGTCCAGCGGGCCGTCCACAGAGGAGAAAAACAGTGGAGGTCTTTTCGCACAGTGACGAAGGGGTAAATATTCAACAGGGAGATTGCTTCTTGAAACAAAAGTAATATAAATAGCAATTTGTTGCGAAAATAAGATAAACTGGTGGAGCAAATAATCTTAAATTCTCAAAGATCTTGTCTCGTTGGGGGCTAACCAATTGGCGCGGGACTTAAACTCGGGACAACAGAACAGACTAGCTCAAGAATAACATTTCACTTAAAATGGGTCTCGGTCTACAACCTGGACATTCAAAAACAGGTACATGTTATTTTGTCATGATTTTGTGTCTAGAAACAGAAGAAAAGGGTCCTAGTGCTTCTCGGTAGCACGGTATACCATAGTCTAAGAGAGTGGACGCAGCTTTCCAAATGGTAGTTGTTCTAATCAGTAACTGGATGAACTATTGTTTCTTACCCAAACTGTTTCCAACAATTGTGAGTTTGATTGTACTGATATGTTGGCGGTGGGTCGTCCCCCCTATTCCGGCTATTTTACTTCAAACGTGCTTTCAAACCCTTTATTTTACATAAAAAAAAGTGTGTGTGTGTGTGTGTGCGTGCGCGCGTGCGTGTGTGAACGTGATAAATCTAATTAAGGCTGTAAGCAATTCTTGACTGAGCGTTTGAAACAATTTTCTTCCGTTCTAGTTTGTGAACACAGTGAGTCCTTTGTCAGAAATGGCTCCCCCCAAACCTCCTCGACCATCTCCCCAGGCACACCAACCGGCTCCAGAACTGCCACAAAAGACACAGAAAACTATTTTGCGGAAGAAGTCTGCTGACGTACATCAGCGCTCCAGCACTGAATCCAGTGGATCAGACGGTACTGAGCAGGCAGAGCAGGTAATCACTTACAGATATCAATCTGCTACTTGTTCGAATCTTATCCAGTCAGATTTTTCTACTTGCCTCGAAGTAAATTTGTGAAAGCCAAAAGATGATATTGTTTGTTGCAAGACAGCACAGATAGTCTGGCACTGATTTCTCTGCCAAGCGTTGTACGACGCGGAATCCTTCTCTAGTGTGTTAAGCCGCCCAGGGAGAAATTGTCTTCTAAGAACAAAGGGAATTTGTTCAAAGTACCTTCACGTTACAAAAAGCTAGCAATCTCCAAAGGAAAAACTTGCAAGTCTCTGGTTAAACCAGACGACGTTGTTTGGTTCAACATCATCTCTGTCTTCATCGTCATTGTTTTGAAAACTTTAAATAATTGATTCTAATTTAAACTTATCAGTCTGACTCCAGAGATCCCAGGCAGCAGCCCTTGATGCATTGAGCGGTTCTTTCATGGAAAGCAAACATTTGCCAACCGCGATGCAATACGTTTCGTCTTTGTTTACGTTTATTCATGATCTTTCGTCGTATAATGTTTCCATTGATAACTTGTAGTTCCTATTTCCCGTCTTCTTTTCTAGTCTCCAGCCCTTCCGCCGCGCGCGTCCACGATTTTACAGCCAAAAGGTTCGCCACCAGTACCTCCGAAGGCCCAGAAGAATCGATGAACGTATAAGCGTATTTAACGACCTATCTACGGACAGATGATGATGAAGAATTCCTTTGTGCGAGGCTGAATTTCGAACTCTTAATATTTGATTGTTAATTCTCGTTTAATGTCTGCTGCGCTTTATGGTTAGTTTTCTAGCCAAGTTTTTTACAAGGTTATTACGATGTTTTTGTTACTTGTAAAATATTTCGAAGTAGTTAATGAAATTTTCTCTACTCTTCTAAAACATGTGGATATTTTTTCATTACTATATGTCGCATAGTATTTTTTTACCAATCTAACATTTCAGAGTTGTTATAATGTACTTAACTTTTGTTATGGCATTCAGTTTTGTGTCTGTAAGTCACGAACAAATACAAACATATTTTTTTACGAAATGAAAATATGGCACCCAGGCCTGTAGAGAGCTAATCAAAAATTATCTGTGATATTTGTTTAAATAACGTTTAAACGCCATGTAATAGTGTTGTTGCCGTTTCTCCTAAAACAATTTTGTAGAGAGAAAAACCTAATTTTTCTCCTCTTACAATCAGATTGTTCTCCAGCACTATTAGGTGACTGTAAGGTACATTCCTTCTATTTGATTCGAGCTCTGATTGGCTGGATATTTGAATTTCAACTTTCTTTTAGATAAACGTGATACAACATGCCTCATCTTGTTAAGCTGAAAGACAAATATTAGTGTGCTAATCAGTGTTATTTTTTAACCAACACATGTAACTACGGAGAGAACTACAAACAAAAAGCAGTATTAAAATAGTTGTATGTGGTTTGTAAAACGTGGTGAGCCTTCGATATCGATCACGTTAATTACAAATAGCCATAGTGATTTTCATTTATTCCATATTTTCATTCTGTGCATTGCAGAGAAATATTTCATGAAGCAGGCAGTTCAATTTTAGTTCTCTCTTGTTTAGATTTCTTGGTGGTGGCTTTTGTATAAAGGAAAGAGAAATTAAAAAAAAAAGAAATTTGTTTGTGATTTTAGGTTTAAACAGTGACGCATGTTACAAAGCGCTTACTTGGTCTTACTCGTGTGACACTTGCAGCTGTTTACATGAGCGTGACGTAAGAACTATATTCATTTAGCTGCGTCCAGGGCCGCTGAGGTCTCACGGACTGTTACTTTGTTATCAAAGCCAGTTCGTCGCTATTATCACAAGTTGGCTATCAAGCTAGGATAACGACAAATTACAGAGCCTATTTTGCATATAATTCCAGTCGGAATGACATCCAACGATCGACAAATGGTAATTGAACTCGGTTAAGATTAGGATTGAACTGCCATTTCTTTCTACTGTAACAATTAGTAAACGATATCTTTTTTTTTCTGCCAGCAGTGGTCTAATGCATAATGATGCTCAACCTTTTGTGACATAGAAATTCTGACGCACCTTTTTTAACAATTAATTAGCCAGTCAGTATTTCCATGAACGAGTCACCTCATTTGATCCGGCTACAAAGCAATTAACCAGCGGGAAGGTTTCTTCATGGAAAAATCAAAAAGACGAAAAGCTGTTATCAAGATTTCCGATGAAGGTTTCAAAGATGGACCTCAGAGAAGTCGACACCTCGCAAAACTGAACAGCTAGCCGTGTCAAGAAAGATGTTCACTTTATTTTCTTTTTTGGTATTTTAATTCGGTTCAACATTCTATTTACTTAGCATACATTAGCTAATACAGAGAAAAATTTAATTTAAGGTGTTGGCGACGTCAAATTCAATTGTGAAAGACTGAAGGAAACTTTTTTTCAGCAGGACAAAAGCTAGTAGTTAAGAAAAAAAATCCTCGAACTTATTTGACTGAAATTTGCAAAAAAAAATCAATCGGCCACTCTCATTAAAATGCTGATTGCCGTTCGCTACAAAAACCCGACATTGCTTTTGTTTATAATAATTCTGTACCGTTTGATTGACTGCTTTCGTAATTGGCGCCCTGTCAAGACGCACCTGGTGCGCAAATCCCTCAGCCAATCATCGGCCATGTTTTGATGTCCTCTTGTATTTCTGGCACAATCATCCGATCGAGTCCTCAAGAAATTTACATATGATATATACCTTTCAACAAATGAAAGTTTTAAGAACTCAGTGCTGCGACGCCCAGTATTAGAAATGTGTTCACACTTCACTGCACGTGTCTTTTAGCTTATTCGTTTCGCTAGTAACGGAAATTTTTCCCAGTGCATCACTAGATAAACCTTAGCTAACGAAAGTGTTGATAAGCAATGTGCAACATGAACCGGTGCGCTGTGGCTTTCCTTACAATCATTGCGTTTCTCGTCTTCGCTGGGGCAGCTGTTTTCTTCTACTTTGGCCAGTACGCAGATGAAAGCATTCTGGATTTCTACATTTACAATCGCACGTTACAGATCTTTCAAAGGTATCCCGTAGAAATAACCCCCGCGGAATGGACATTTTGGACATGGAGCGCTGTCCTTGGATGGCAGCTCCTTTGGCTGTTCTATGCTCTAATTTTGATGTGTCGGCGGCACGGCCCAAAGGTCCTAACTCCATTCTTCTTTGTGTTTACCCTGCTAGCGTTTGGCTTTACTCTTGGATGGGTCATGATGTGGGGTGAAGATCTCATTCACATTGCTCTGGGATTCATTGGTGGTACAGCCGCCTCATTGTTCGTCGCTTTAGCGATCGTCTACAATCGATTTAATAACCTCCGTGACGGAATGAAAAAATTTCCCACCGGCGACCAGATCGCGATGGAAGTGCTTGTTATTAACGGAATAGGCATGTACGCGTCTTGGGCGCTGTACAACTCCTTCCAACAAACCGCAATTGTTTTGAAGTACACAGCTGAAGTGGAAGATGAGATTGCCTGCACTATAGTCCTCGCTGGACTCGGGTCGACCATTCTCTTTTGGTTCTGTTTGGATAATTTTGTGTTCTGGAAGTTCACGTTGTACACCTTTACGCCCTACGCACCAATGATTGTCGGCTTCACGGGAACTTTCATGGAGTTCTGGGACGAACACAAGAGAAATTCGATTTTCAATGCCGCCCTACTGGGAACTACGTCGTTGTTTTTACTGCTAAAAATCGTGCATATCATATGGAGGAGCCGTAGGGATAGCAAGAAAAGTCGACGACATGTTCTAACCGACGAAGAGGAGTTTAAGCTATAGGCGTTTTTCCCACAGACGTGCAGGTGTTACGAAATTTCTCGTTACAGGGAAAATGCAGGAAGCAAGAAAAGAAAAGTGACTTGGTATACAAAACGGATTGCGTGAAGACTCGTGTGCTGAGTGAATTTGAATTTTATTCATTCGTTTACCATAAGACGAAAAAATTAAGCAATTTTTTTAGTCGTTCAATTGTTAATTCGACGATTAAGTCCCATGGGCCATCAAATGCTCTACATTTCGAAATATTTTTTTTATTCATGTGTTGTGCGGTGGACAAACTGTCGAGATTTTGTCGAGAGGTTGAAGCGAAAGTACCGCTAAATATTTTGACCCGTCGATTTTTTGCGGGTTGTGTGCTATTCGTTTGTTGACTTTATTAAAATGGCAATCTAAAGAACTTTTTTCGCTAACACAGCGAGTATTTTGCGTCTAAGTTACGCTAGAATGCGCATATGTAAATCTCGTAAAGTATATTTTAACATGTAAATACGCGATAGAGAAGGATCTGAAGGTTTCTGGTAAATCCACTCCCATACGCATAGGATTTAAATAATTGCATATGAATGGAATAATGTGATTGTAAATGAGAATAACAAATCGAGGCGCCCTCGGCTTGTAAGCTTATCGAGTCAAAACTGACCTTATGAATGTAGTGAATTCTCCAAAAAAATGTTTCAAGAATTGTGTCATTAAAGATAACCGCTAGAACACGAGTCTGTTTATTTGTCCGTCAAATATTTGTGTTTAAATTTCACCAACCCATACTAGGAATTTAATACACTTATTTTACGTCTTTCGATAGCAGCAAGAAAACTAAGCTGAGAAATCAACTGGCTTAATAAACGCCTTGGCATTTCTTAAGTTGTATCTCTCTACGGTGTTTGCAGGGTGTGGTGAGAAAAAAACCTCATCGACATGAAAATTTATTTTGCTGACGGAAAACCATCTGCACGGTAGAAAATGCTCCCAGTCTTCCGCTGTGAAATCATTGGGTTGACGACACCTCTCTAACGAAACCTCACACCTGGAGCCTTGCGCGATCGCACGAATTTTCGCGCGCGTATTTGAGGCATCTCGCGTGTTGGACAGCAAGCACACAATTTTTGTCAAGATTTTTATACTTCAGAGACTGAAGGCAGTATAAGAAGTATGTCTCGAGAAAACAAGCGATTGATTTTAAAAAAAAATTGAACAGTTTAACTCAAATAATCATTTACGGTCAGCCGATTATAAGATGTGATAAGCGAATAAGCCGTCAGCTGGAAACATGTCTTCTCCCGAACTTTCTTTACCTATTAGATTAATTACAAAAATATTATTATCTCTACTTGGTCCTGTAGTGATCCATTTTCGCGTTAATCCTGGCCAATCAAAGGATTATCAAACAAATTAGGTATCTCGCGGGTATCGATGTTAAATTAAACGTTCTGAATACCTTTAAATTTTGCTCTTCAAATTCGCTGAGTAAAGAGATCATTCTAGTCGTGGTTACTGAGAGCGATAATGGAACAATAGGTTAAAAATAATGGTAGATAAGGAAAAAATGAAGTGATCTTCTGTCTCTGTGACGTGAAATGGAGATAATATTGTACATTTGTTTGAAGCTGAAAAACAGAACCGCTTAGGATACATCCACGAACGGGCGATTCAAAACTGTTTTAAGAAGACACCGACAAATACTTCATCTTTGAAATGAGAAAAAAATTAAATTAGATAATTGCTTCTCCTAACTGTCTCCCTTTTATAATCAGTACAGTTTAAACATTTCGGTTGACCTTTCATACTCAACAAAATTTATCTTTTTTTGAAAAATCTATGGAATTTTGAAAAATAAACAATAAAAAACTTGATAAACCTCTTCAGCTTATATTTGTGTTTTGACTATGTAGGCTCTATGGTAATACTCTAGAGAACTCTTTCTTTCAAATTTCCTCTTATTCACATGCATATGCATGCTAAAAGGAATTACCTTTTGTCCTCCTTTGAGAAAGCAAAACGTACAAGCTAAAAAGTTCAAATAGGATACTTTGGTTAATTTTGTTTCATTTTATATCAGTTACTCCCCCACCTCTCATGAATATCCAGTCACCAGACAACTGCAGAATTTTATTCATACCTCCACCAGTTTACACAACAGAACATCACAACACAGACAACCACAAAAAAAAAAAAACATCAAATTTCCCTGGTCATTAAAATCTGGGGTCAAGTGACTAATGACTTCAAATTGTGGCAGCCATCCATGTGTCAGTGTTAAGAGGAAACATTTATTGAAGGTACCACTTGACATTTTTTTTTCCCACTTGGGTATATTCTATGCATTGTGTATAAGCAACACAATAGGCAGTCTAACATAAAAAATAATTTTATGACCAGTTTTGCAAAAGCATCAAAGTGACGGTAAAAGCCCTATGCAGTTAGCTTTCAAATGACCTAAAAATCACCATGCTGAAGAGCAAATTACTACCCTAAATAACCAAAATAAATCAATGTTGCTCAAGTTTTCTCTGAAGTCCAAGTGTGTAATCTGCTCTCCAGTCCAAGGCATTTTTTTACCTTATGATTGCCAACTAGAAAGTGCCTATTCATCAGTGGTGAATTGACAACAAAAGAAATCACTCATCAAATATATACATATACTAAAATTTATTGCAACCGTAGAGTTTGTTGACTCTTCACTAAACTATACTTCAAAATAACTAGAAAAAAGATTTTAAAATGTCTTACACTTAAAGCACCTGGTGTATGAATGGGTTGAGTGCCAGATTGTTTCCAGCTGGCAACAGAATGCATCCAGTCAACAATATCTTGTAAATGGGAAATGATTCTGGGTTTTACATTTCATTTATTATATGGGCCCTTGCTTGTGCCAACTTTGCAATAGATACCCTTGACAAACAAATCTGCCATATGTGGTAAGGAGGGTTTCACACATCATATACAATGTAGCATTGGTACAACAGTTTTAGCAATGCTTTTTTCAGCTTTTAAGAAGAAATTACTATATATGTTTTGTTCTACTCTTAATAAAGTTCAGTGGTAAGTCAAAAAGACTAGTTATAGAGACTGACCAGGTTTTAGGCTCTCAGGAGTGAATCCCCACCCCCTTAAAATCATTGCTGTTATATGAAAGAAATTGATGCTTGTCCCAGAAGATTATAATGGAAGTGGCAAGCTCTTTACTTCTGAAAATCACTCTGTTTAGTTGTCCTTGAAGTCTTCATGGGATTTGACCAACACTATACTTGTGGGTCGTTTGGTTTGACTTGCAGCTCCAAGGTCCTACAAATACACAAATTCATTATCTCAAAGGGTCACTCCTCTTTGATCTCTGTCTCATAAAGTTACTTCATAAAACTCATGAGGCATATCGCTGGGAATCTACATAAGCTCGCCAATGCACACATAGAAGTAGTATCAGAGTTTTACTCATTAATACAACACCATCACCTAGCTACGGCTCAAACCAAGAATTTAAATAAACGGTGGTTTCTGGTCATCTAATATCATGTACAAGACCTCTTGCAACTGTCTGTTCTGTTCAGCCTGCGAGCAGGCTCTTGTGTTTTGGTTTCAGGTTGTGGCCCCTTTCTGGGCACAGCCACCTACTTCACCATCACCAGTTATTGAAACCCCAGTGAATCGTACCCAGACCCTATAATCTGGAGTCCACTGAAACACTAGCCCAACACAACTTCTGCTACCAATGCACACAGTTATTAGCTCCACTCCTTACATTCTCAAAGTCTTGGTCTTTTTCTAAAGGCTCTCATAGAAGCCTAAAATAATTGTCAATAAATAACTAATCAGCTCAGATTAGTTAAATTTTACAGTAGTGTAATAATTTCAATAATCCATAAAGAAGAAAAAGTAGTATTACTCACCAATCTTGAGGGTACATAAGCATATGGTATTTTGTTGTCCTCACAGACCACAGGAATATGAGATATGACATCAATGGGGGAGACATCACCAGCAATGACAACAAACCTAAGAGGAAAAGAATGCAACAAGGCAGATGATATCATTTTTACGCACAGAAACATGTTCCACTGTCAATTGCACTTAACGATTTCTTGAGTTTAAATTCACAACTCCTTGCAAAACGTAAATAAAGTAACTAGGACAAACCCTTCAGATAAAAGAGTCTCAACAGATCATAGTAACCATTTACGTTTACAGTAATTGTTCATGATTATCATATTTCTCACCCTTTCTCGCCTTTTCGTAAAGCTTTAGCCACTTCTTTGACTCCTCTTCTCAAACTCTTTGCTTTGGAAGCTAGAGAGAAAGAAAAAGCACACACTTTCAAAGCCTGCCCACATATGTAAATGAGGTGGACGGGTATTCTGAAGTTGCACCCACTTTACGTACCTCTATCAAACAATTAACAATCTAACTCGCCATTGAGGCTTTTTAACTTGGAAATACTAAAAATTTTATCTTTTAGAAGGTCTAGAACAATTATAGACAGCCCCGAGTACACTTTCATCGCTAGATTGCGGTCAAATCACAATCGTAACCTATGTCAACAAGCCATTTAGGTAAAAACCACGCTTACCTTTCTTCACAGTTTTGTACAATCTTTTGGTAAGTTTTCTGCTAGCGAGCGGCTTTGCAATTGCACAAACTCTTTTAACAAGTTCTTCATAATCCACAGTAGGTTCATCAATCCTTGAATCGTCCTTGGTGTCGTCTGCTTCGCCGTTTTCTGCGTCCTTCTTTTTGTCCTTCGATCTCGCCATGTTGTTTCGATTGCACGTGGGAAACGTTCCTGGGTCTGGGGAGAGTAACGTTTCAGGGCAATCCGCTGAACAGCTATTTTTCGGCTCTTATCGCCAATGCAAAGTCGTCTGTTTGCTTGTTTGTTATTTTTATTTATTTTTTTTTTTCCAATTCCTTGCAGTTGGAAGCTTTAAGATAGATAGATAGATAGATAGATAGATAGATAGATAGATAGATAGATAGATAGACTGATAGATAGACTGGTTTATTAAAATCACATCGCAGTAAAATACTGAATTGCGCAATTTTTACAAGGTACTACTATACAAATATAAAATTTGATGACTTAAAGTTCTATTAAAAGTTCTATTACATCTCAACTTGGGCTGGTTTCAGCCGCACCCTTCACGAAAAACGAATTAGCAAGACGGTTTGTCGTGGCTGCTGGTACATTGTACGTTCTTTGGCGCCTTAAATTATGATGAGGGCTATGGGTTTCAGAAATTAAGTAATGTAGTTTACTGTTCTGATTCTCGCTGATTGAACTATATTAAGACTTTGTAATGTCTTGGTGATGTTCCCTGATAGAAGTCAAACAGGCGCGCTCTAACCCTTCCCCGTATGGCATTCTAGGAAAATTACTCTTTTCTGAACTCTTTCTAACTCTGACTGTAAGTACTGAGGTAGAGAATAATGGAACACAGGGCAAGCGTAGTCAAGGGAGGATCTAATGCATGCGCAGTAGTAGGCAACAAGATCTTCGGCTGGAACACGCGCACGTTTAAGCTGCACAAGGAAATAAATTTTCTTAGTTGCTTTCTTAACTAAACTATCTACATGATCGTTCCATGTTAGTGTGTTGTTGATGGTAAGGCCAAGAAGCTTGCTAGAAGCAGTTGCTTGAATCTGAGTCCCATCAACTATAACTGGGTCGAAATGTTCCGGGGGATGACAGAAACTGATAGTAAGCTCTTTAGTCTTCTCAAGGTTCAGCTGGAATAAGTTGTCCGCTGACCAGTTGGAAAGATGGTCCACTGCTTCTTGTGCTCTACTTTGTTACCGCTTCGGTACTTTTTCTGACAGGGTGGTATCGTCCACGTACTTCCACATCCCAAAGGACGCACTGGGGGTTAAGAGGTCGTTGATCATAAGCAAAAAAACCCAGGGCCCCAATTTGGTCCCTTGGGTAGGCATTTATAGATTATGCTAGTAAAAGTGGCATATTATGCTAGTAGCATTGCTTTTTTTTTGGCCAAATTATGCTAACATTATGCTCTTTTTTCCAAATTATGCCACCGTTTTTTTAAATTATGCTCTTTGAAAAAATGCAAATAAGTCCAAAATATATATTTTTTAACTAGAAGCCGTTCGTCTACAGGAAAGAAACGCAACAAATCCACAATGAATTTCAAATAAACATGTGGTTCAGGTTAGACCCGGGCTCAGTGTTTCACAGTGAACTGCAAATGCTACTAGTTCAACTAAAACTTTAAATATCGATTAAGGTCACCAAGTGATTGGGACTAGAGACAAAAAATTATCAAATAATGGCATCAAAAATGATCTGATAATTATCAAAATGCGCAAATTATGCTAGCACTGCGACTTGGCAGAAGTTATGCCAGTTTGCTCGAATTATGCCAAAAATTATGCTAGCATAATCTATAAATGCCTACCCTTGGGGGACACCCGCTGGTACCGCACCCGCGCGCACCCCATTCAGACATACAGTCGCGGCTGAGTTTAACCCTCTGGGACCGATCTGACAAGAAGTCCAGGATCCAATTAACAATACTTTTGGGGACCCCAACCACCCTAAGTTTGGCCGCCAAAGTTCCGTGATCAATGAAATCAAAAGCCTCGCGGAAATCAAAAAGAAAAGCACGCACAGATGCACTATTTCCGTCTGTTGCTTGCAGCCACTCATGGATCATACTTAACAGAGCGAGGACAGTGCATGAGCCTGATACAGTGCCAAACTGATTTGAATCGGCTATCCCCTCTAAGGCTGGTCTTATGTAATCTGATAGTACGAAGTCCTCAGCGACCTTGGAAAGCGATGCGGTTGGCGAGATCGGTCTAAGTTCTTTTTTGGGATCTGCGACTTGTTTTACTTCTGGGAGTGGAGTGACATCCGCATGCTTCCAAACAGATGGTAATTTCTGCTCTTTGTATGATGAGTTAAGTATGTCAGCTATTGGTTGGTAAAGCAGTTCCGCTTACTCCTTTAAGCACCAGTTGGACAGGCCGTCGGGGCCTGGGGTCTTGTGTTTATTCAGATGCGACAAATTTCCATCGACACGCTGTAGAGTGACTTCCAGAAACTATCGGTAACTATGTTTTCCTTTGATTCTGTGCGTTTATTGGTGAAAAATGATGATTCCAGTGCGCAGTTTTTAATTCAGGTTGCCAAAAACAGCGGCAGAATACAATCATAAAGATGTAACCAGCTTCTCTTGTTTTCGAGCCGAAGGAGAATAAAAGGTACAGCAATTTTCTTTCACATTCTAAATCCTTGTGGTACTGAAGGGTGTATTTTAACCAATAGCCCATTTCCGAATTACCCTTGGCCTCATTTTCAAAACGAGTCCTGGTGCTCATCCTTTCATATGATAATAAGTTTCATTCACATGCAAATTAAACTCATTTTCACAAGAATGGTTGAGCACCAGGCCTCGTTTTGAAAAAGAGGCCAAAGGGTAATTCGGAAGGTGGCTCGTACCGGTTTTCATCTTTTTGATGATTTGTAACTTTGAAAGAATAGAACAGAAAGACTGACCAAGGCCAGTTGAACACTTTTACGGGGTTGAATTATATAATCATTGGTTATCCATGACTTCTGGCTATATCATATTATTTTCCTTGAAGTTTCAAAGTCTTCTTCCACTTCAGGTAGATTATCCTTCACTTGAGTTCTTCTTTTTTCGCCGTCGCAAGATTTCATATCGGTTGAATATTTCTTTTAAATGTGAAGTGAAGCAACCTTTACTTCTCCGAAAATCGTCTTCTTTATCTTAGTTTCTATCTCCTGCATTCACAGTGGCCGCTCAACACATCAAATACAAGCTCTTCGGTAAACTTCTCACATAAGTAGAAAAAAATCCTCGCGCCACCATCTTTGTTTTAAATTTTCGTCTTTTAATCTCGCGCTTCTTTCGCACGTTTCTCTCGCGCGTGACGCAAGAGTTATCTGTTCCCTGCGCGAGGAAACTAGTACGAGCCACCTTAAGTTATCGGAGCTGTCACACAACATTGCGTGACTGCTAATGAGGAAAGTTTAGCGTGATTATTGTTGAAGTATTTAAAAAATTGCGCATTAAATTGGGATACAGTAGCAATAAATTTCTGTGAGCCACCTTATGCCATTTTGCAATTGCATTTTGCTGTAGGATCATTACATGATGGACTGGATGGATATTTTTAAACTTGTTATATCAACTGCAAAAAAGGTAACTTTTCCCATGTCTGATAGAACAAAAGTCTTTTGTAAGAGATCAAGTGTGCGCTCGATTTTCACCCAATTAGAGAAGTAAGGGATTTGAGAATTTGACTGGTTCACTGCAGATACATATTGAAGCAACAAACTCTTTTCCCTCTTGATAACTTTGTACCTCTTAAAATGTTTCCTGCAAACTCCCTGATTATTGGTAATTAATTTGACCACACTGCACATTGAATTTACACAAGGAGGGATCTTGTCTCAGTAAACCACCTCATCCTTTGAACTATTCTACAAAGAATGTATAGAAATCCAGAGGAAAACTACAAGACAGATCTTATGTATTTAAGATGGATTAGGTAACATTTTACCAAAATGAATGACTCAAGGAGAGTTTTGATTGCTTATTTATCTCAAGGGGAAAATTTAGTTTATGTAGTGGATATGTACAGGTGGCAAATTAGTTTTGGATCTCATCCCAGTTTTCAAGGTTTAGCAACGAAATAGACAAAGCTTCTCCTTGTACATTAGGGTTCCCCCAGTACTACTGGTGTTCCAATTATTTTACAAAGGTAGGCCATCCTGCTGTTTATTAAACCATGATGGCTGAAATATGACTTGAAAATGATGTTCATATATTTTGATGTCTTTTATAATCTGTTACTAATGTACTGTGGAATCATGGAATCTTGCGTCTTTTTTGTGCCTAGTAACCAGACAAAAAAAGGGCCCCTGATGACCTTTTTCTTATGTTTTTCCTCCATATAATTATAAATTAGAACCAATCAAAGTGTATCTAAAATTCATCATATTATGTGAAACCCAGCTGGGTTGTTTGGGAAAAGAACATGTGAAAGATACTAACCCTTGGGTAATAGATCGCATTCTGATATGGGAGAAAGCCTGACCTCAAGCCACACAGGTGAATACCTGGACATTTTTTACCTTGGCACTTGTCTTGCTAATTGTCACTGTTTTGGCCCAGTAAGACTTAAAAACTCTCACTGTGAAGGGATTTTACAGCAAGCAGCTGTAATGCTTATGCATGGTACAGTGATTGTAATATCGCACAACTGCATGTCAATTCAAAAAAATAACTCTTTATTATGTAGCGCCTCTTATTCAAGAATACATTACTCCCTGCAAGTCGATCCAAATTTTGAATCACGTTACAGTTATTGAACCTCTCTTCAGCACATTTTGTTCATCGGATGAAGTTCTTTTAAACAATGTTATGGCTATTTTTTTAAACTACTGTTCATCTATAAAATATCATTCTTGAATGAATGAAGTGACAGTTATTTGTGTACTCGCAGTCATCTGTATTTTGCCAAGTGTTGACAAAGTTTTTTGTTGTGTGATGTGACAGTGTAGCTGTTGGATTGGTTAAGTATGTCTAGTTAGAAGAAGCTCCAAATGTAGCTTTTTACTGCTTCTTCTTCTCCTCCTTTGGGGCATCTGCTGTTTTCTTTTCGGTCTTTTCTACTGGCTTCTTGTCAGCTTTCTTTTCATCGTCATCATCATCATCATCGTCATCGTCGTCGTCATCATCGTCATCATCGTCATCATCGTCGGCTTTCTTGGTGGCATCCTCCTTCTTTTCCACCTTCTCTGGCTTCTCATCCTCCTTCTTTACTTCCTTTTTCTTCTCGTCGTCCTTCTTTCCTCCCTCGCTGCTGTCCTCGCTGTCTTCTTCATCCTCCTTGTCTTCACCATCATCTCCGTCATCTCCTTCATCTCCATCATCTCCATCATCTTCATCATCTTCATCCTCTTCATCGTCTTCATCATCTTCATCATCCTCGTCATCCTCATCATCCAGATCATCAGCCATTTCGTCATCATCATCTTCTTGTTTCTTGTCATCCTTTTCGATCTTCTTGTCCTCTTCATCAGCTTTCTTATCTTCTTCCTTGTCGGCATCTTTTTCTTCAGTTTCCTTATCGTTCACCTTGTCGTCTTCCTTCTCAGGAGCATCGGGGTTGTCCTCCTTGGCTTCATCATTCTCTTTAGGGATTTCGTCCCTCTTCTCTTCATCCATATCATCTCCTTCGCTGCTATCCTCACCGTCATCCTCGTCGTCTTCGTCGTCTGAGTCGTCGGCGTCATCTGCAACATCGTCATCGAAGTCACCGGTGTCGTCCTCTTTGTCTTCTTTCTTCTCCTCGGCCTCTGCGATCCATAGAGTACAACGTGAGTAATTCTCATTTTGACCTTTGCTATACACGCACAGTAATTTTAACTCTTAGTGCATTGTATTTTAAACTATTTAATTACAATTACAATATCATCCGGCTAAGTACTTGGGAAACCGTATTTTCAGAAGGTTCAGTTATCTAGCTTTTTTATTAGACAATCTCCATTTCACCGACTTCCACCTCCGACTGACATTCGTCTATCAATTTTTTTGGTGATATTCTTCTATGGAAAAGATTGGGTTCACAAGAGTCTTCTTCCCCTCCCCCTTCGGTCAAGCCTTTTTTCCACTTTCCACTCTCTTCCCCCATTTTTGTAGCTACAATTTTGGTAATGCTTTAAATTCTATCTAGGGATGTTGGGGGAACACTAGAAAAGTTTGTAAATCACTCATCTCTGGTTCGCGATTTAGAAACTTTTCGAAACTTTTTGAAATCCTATCCTAAATAAAATTGTCGAAGAGTATTTGGTAAATTGCTGTGTTTGGTGGCGCAGAGCAATGCAACGACTCATCAAATAAAATGAATATCCTCTAATGACAATGACGAAGAATCTTACAATTCAATAAACGGGTCGTAAGACCGATGCTTAGCACATATAAATAAAGGGTGAAAGTTTCTAAAGAAACTGTAGTGCTGCGTCTTTGGGGGTAACAAAGAAATTTGGTTATATCAACTAAGTTGAAATTGTAAATTGGCCACCGTAACGAGTTGAAAAGCTGACGTTTCGATCGTTAGCCCTTCGTCATTCGCTCTGACGAAGGGCTAACGCTCGAAACGTCAGCTTTTTAATTCGTTACGATGGCCAATTTACAAGGTCAACTTAGTTGATATAACCAAATTACCTTCACACATATAGTTGAGAACTTCAAATACTTTTTAGGGCGATCCAATATTCCGTCGATACTTGCTCTATGGCATGAGCAAAACAAGTATATTTCAGTGCAATAGAATATGCTGCTTCCATTGATGTAAAACTTCTACGTGAAGGCGTAGAAGCAGTGTTTTGTTATAACCAGTTTGTTGTAGGTGTAACTGTGACTAGTAACCTGCTGAATGAGTGATATGCTTGTTATAAAATTTACAGCGGGAATCCCACTTAATCATTCGAGTGCTTCTTCAAAACCTGTTGTGATATCGTAAACATGAGTTTTAGAAAGAATCACCGGCGTCAAAAACGCAGTGTTTTGAGAATCGGATGTTGACTGCCAAGATGTTTGATATAGTTAGAGGTCATAGAAAGGCTTAATTTGCAGGTAGAAAAGTTCAGAGCAAATAAAGATCAATGGCCTGTTCTCTGTCTTGCCCAGAAGAACATGGTTTGAAATTTTCAAAAGATTCCGTAGTTATGATCAAATGTTACATCGAAAACAAATTTTACCTTATTTTGTCACGAATCACGAGCTAAAAGTGTAAATTTGATCTCTATTCCTAATTAAAGCTATTAAAACTATTCCTATTAAAAATGCTCTTTTCTACTGGTTCTTAATCGCAACAGACTATTAAACGAAAGTCATTGAAATAAGTTGGAAAATTTTTGATTTTTTTTTCTACATGTTATTGCACTTTACTTATGTGTTTTTATCTTCAAAGAAGTGGAAATTTTATCTCGAGAGTTATGGACAAAAAGTTCCGGTTATTATCAGAATCAAAGTACTGGTTCAAAGGAAGCCATTTGAAATGTTTCTTCTTTCTCGTAAATTCGTTTTAAAGAACTCCTTTCACTGACTTTCTGAAAGCTCCTATCGTGTTCTCTGAACTATGAAACATTTAAGAATTAGCAACTCACTTGTCTGTAAATGGAATCTTTTAAGCATTGACAACGTAATTCACGAATTAAGAATTCCAAGGCGTCAGCGTCAATGAATCGAAGTTAACAAGATTTTGCAGTTTTTTTCTCGTCATTAAAACTAAAGAAACTTAGTGAGACGACTTTCTTTACCTGGGGCTGGGGCTCCCTGTGTCATGACGATGCCAAAGATAAGGCACAACAGAAAAACGTACTTCATTTTGTTGGATAGGTAATTGTCTGTGGACGCGTAGATCTACCAAGAGAAAACAAACGTTAACACAGCTCGCAAAGGTATTTCCGTCTCATGATGTATTTTTTTTTTATCAACGATGTTCATTATCATTTATTTTAGATTTATAGAAATGTTTTAGTATTCCAAATAGGATTTATGACGAGAGATGATGTAGAAGGACAAATAAGAAGGCGCTCAAACTTAAGAGGAACGTTTGCCCATCAACAGCCTGAATTCATCTGCGACATGAGGATTTCGTTCACTTTTGTCAAGCGAGAAGAGGCGTCCCTCTTTTTATTGACTTGTTACACCTACGAAGCAAAAAAACTCAATCCTTTAAATGAATTAAAAATCTTTTCATGCTTGTCGGTGTGTCGTTTTGAAATACAAGAACAGAATTTCAGTCCTTAGATTTTCAAATTGACCTTTCATGATCAAATTTGCGTCTATATCACAAGCCTAAAGAAGATAAAAAATGAACGAAGTGGCAAATTACAATTAACTAGAATCCCCTAAACTAACATCATCTCGCAGGATCTTTAGTCTGTTAAAAATCATAAGCAAGTAGCCCTAAAGGATTGAAAGTGAACGGAACTAACCTTAACTCGGGAGTCTTTCTGGCGGCCTCTTGTCCGGTGTAGATCTTTCGTGGAATGGACGACTGATGATCTAACCGATTTTAGAGGAGTCCAGTGATTAATTATTAACAAGTGACGGTAGCGGTGATTACGTTCCGTGTTAGCTAGGTCATTACGGGTTGTTTACCTTATGCATTTAATAACGCGAAATGCACTTTCATGGCATGTGGTCGCACGCGAGTCGATGATTGGTCGAGAAACCAGTTTACATAATTAAATGTCCAATCAGAGCCAATCGTTTAGAGAATGTGAACAAAACAATCTGTTCATTTTGTTTTGAAACAACCTTTACTGTTTAATTTTACATCATGGTTGCACCCGCAAATTATTGACATACTTAAAGCTGGTTGTCCTAGTCTTATCGCCCAATCATTTGGCTGAAAGTTCTCCTGATCTGTAGTTTTTAAAAACAATTTTCCAAGAACCTCTCGATGAAGTCCACGTTGTGTGAAACCCCTGCAGTTTTTCTTTAATTCATCATCTAGATGGATTTTCCTTCTTTTTTTTTTTCTCGTTTTACAATTCTCGGTCAGTTTTCCGCTATTTCTTGGCATATATAGCGTTATCATTAATTCTTTTTTTCGTGCCAAGCAACTTTCAATACTTAGTAGATCAGTTTCAGTTTTATCTCATATTATCCAAAAGTTTCAAGTTAATATTAATAGTGTTTTATAAGACAAGATGACTTCAGAAAAAACTATTTGCGTGCGTGCTCGTACTCAGATCATTCACCGTTTCATTTGCGAATGAAACACCCTCCTCGTTGGAAATGGGTTGAGAAACTGTATCCAGTTAAATAATATTGCCTTTAGGGAAAGTTGGATCGAGAAACAGGATTTTGGGCGTGAAGGAAGTCGCCCTGGCTGATAGAGATTTTTTAAATTTTGCCACAATGAGTTGAAGACGTAATGTTAAATATTACCTTAACGTAAATGTTTTGACAATCTTTATTGCTTTTATTGACTTTTATGTCATGCATTTCATAAGTTGGATCGGAAATTACTAGAGGGACCCAAGAATGTGAGCGTATGTGGTAAATCTTTCTTGTTAACCCGCCCCCTCAATACGCTCTTGGGAAACTGGAAGGTTTTGGAACTCATTCTGCAGAAGTCTGTTGATTTGTTCTCGGCTACCTTCCCCCTATCAGATATAAATATTACGCTACAATAATGTCGCGGACATAATTTATAATGTCTTTATAATTGGCGGTCGTTGGTTGAAAGCTGTGGCTTCCTCTTTGCGCTCAAGAATCTGACGAATGAAAACTACGCAAACATGGTTGATTTTACGTGTCATTCTGTAGCGCAAGAAGCTCTACGAAAGCTTGCTTACGCTACAATGAAGACATTTTATGTATTGGTGATTTCTACGGGCTTGGGCCCGTTTTCCGAATTACCCTGAGACCTTAATGTCCCGGAAAGTTCATTTTCGTTTCCAATGTTTCATTCAGGACCGCTTTGTTGACTTTTTTAAAATTGGAACATTAAAAATGTCAAGAATCGAAACAAAGGGCACTAATTTTTGAGCTAAGTCCCGCGTATTCACCTCCAGAATTTATTAGATTTAAGAATATTACTTCGGACAAGTTAAGTTACTGGGACTTGCGTGAAACGCACCTCAGGCTCGTTAAGGTACCGGAATTTTCGAGAAACGGGCCACTGCATGGCAAGGTGACCTGAAACCCACCGCTAAGGGTAGAAATGTAAACTTCATGAAACAGTTTCTCAATGAGATCATTTAGCAATACTGTCAATTGGAGATCAGGATTTAGCCGAAAAAAATAAATGATTTAACAAAATTGTCTAACATTGTTTGAGAAAAGAAACAAACGCTGGGATATCCAGAAAGTGTGAAGAATTTGAGCATCAAAAGGCTAACCTCTTTTATGCGATAGATAGACACTAGAGCTCAGATTAGTTACAATGTCTCAAAGATTCTTTTTCCAAAGAAGCCCGTTCCACTACCAATTTCCACGACAATGTGGTCAGAATTTATGTCGACCCCTCCCTCTTACGTCCACTCGAACTCCAAATCAAAAATGGCCGATTGAATACATGATCGTGCGCCTCTTAACGTTGGCTCGCCCCAGTAGGACGCCTACCCTGCTGGCTATCCTCTCCCAGTCTTCAATTTCCACGACAATGTGGTCAGAATTTATGTCGACCCCTCCCTCTTACGTCGACTCGAACTCCAAATCAAAAATGGCCGATTGAATACATGATCGTGCACCTCTTAATGTTGGCTCCCCCCAGTACGACGCCTACCCTGCTGGCTATCCTCTCCTATTCTTCTCCCATCCTAATTCTTCTCCCTAAGACTCTAACAGTAATCTATGCAAGAGTGAGCAATCAGCCCATAAACACCTTAAATGGCACGCAGGTTTGCTAGCATGAACATGAAGGGGTGCAAACCACGCCTGTTATTATGAAAGAAGCTCACTCGGATAGCTTGCTTGCAGGCGGTAGTATGTGTTTTCAAGTACAAGATTCAGCACGGCGAATGATCGGTCGCCATTTTGGATTGGTGGGAGATTTGGGACGAGTGACAAAGCGACGAGCAGGAGCAGAGAGGCAATTTGTCTGCGCATGTTCAGTAAATTTTTGTTTCAAGCGAGTAACTGCTTCTATGCGCCTGTGTGGGTTCCCCGCTAAAGGGCTGAAGGAGGAAGATGCGTCGGAAAATTACAATGGAACGAGTACTTAAGACAACCTTTCTTGTCATTTTTTTCTCTTTAACTTAGATGGAAGCGTCGTAGTCTTAATATGGTTGTGTGGTGTGCGGAAGGAAGTCACAATCGATGGATTTTCCAAAAGAAAAAGGGTATACAAACGAGTTCAATTGGAGTCCTCTTTAATGATTGTTGGTGCGATCGATGTAGATGATCTTTTTTTTGAATGATACAGGAGGCCTGTCGAAGAGCACAGACGTATTGGAAAGTAATTTAATCGTGTCATTTCTATCTCATCTAATCGAGTACATTTGTGGTACTTACTTCCCTTTGAGCGCTTTTAGAGCTTCAACTGCCAGTGCAAGGTACTCGCAATTTCAGCAAAAAATAAAAATTAATAGAAGTTTATGTTTTGGTTGAAAAATTTTTTCACGAATCACAACCGGCGGAACCGATTTTCTAACAATATATGTTTTTTCCTAACCATTTTCACTGCATTACCGCAGTAGGGTAGGACTAGAACGGAACATATGCGAACCATGCGAGTAGTCCACCCAATAAATTCCACCCATCCCACCCCAGGGGAGGACATCCATCACACAGTAATATCGTGCGTGGGAAATTAACGTCTCCAACCCCTAACCCTGTAGGAGACGGGACCTCCATTTATTCGTCCCTATCCGAGAAGACTAGAATATCTAACCATTTCTTGATGTTCTAGACAGGTAGCATATTCTTCTCAATTATTTTAAGACCTTGAGTGTTGGTCCGGCCGGGGCTTGAACCCTCGACCTCCCGCACAGCAGTCCAGCGCTCTATCCATTGAGCTAACCGGGAGGCGATTATTTAAACACAAAATGTCATTGTCGCGTTAAGAAAAGTAAGATAACGTTAGCACTAGAGATATGGTCGTTATAACTTGGGTGAAATGGAGGAATAATAATGGATTTTATCAGAGAAAAGAAACTTTTCAATCATCAGTCTCGAAAATATCGATATCAGCACATATGGTTTACGATGTAAAAA